CATCTGACGTGTATGCATACCCCCATTCATTCCCTGGCATTGGTAACAAAATATATGTAAAAAATAATTTAAAGCACAAGGTCTTCAGCTTGTTTCTGTATGAGGTTTAGTTGAATGAACAAATTAGAGAGAATCTTTGATGAGAAATCATATAAAGCCAACAGTTTATCTTGATCCTTTAAGATTTCAGAAAGTGTCTCTTCAACAAAGAGACCCTTCATCCAGGTTTTCTACAATGAAATTCTCTGTACAAATAATTCTTCTGGTACCTTGCGTTTTGCTGAAAGAGAGAGAGAGTCCACTTGCAAGATCAAGAAAACAATATGACACAGAGTTACATATCCATCAGTCATATTCCTCATCTGTACTTTGTTATAATACGAGGCGTCGGCTTAGAAACTCAAACAGACCATGACGACGCCGACGTGCATCCATGGAGAAAAACAAACAAACAAACAAATAAATAAAAATGAATCGACCGGAAGAGAATTCCGAGCGAGCAACAAACCGCATCCGGCGTTTAAGCTTTCCTTCCCTTTAATCCCTCTTCCGTGACCAGAATACTGTACATATAAGGTGCGGGTTTTATTTTATTTTTTTGCTGCTCCCTTTTTAGCGATGCTTCCTCAGCAGTTTTTTCCCCTGTTTTTTTCTGAGAAAATGGAGAAGAGGTCAGCTGGAACGCACAGGAAAAAAACAACCAACCTTTTTTTCCTACTTGCGCGAAATTATGCGTTGAAATCCAACCCAGGGTTGCCAACCGTGGGATAATGAAGAAGGACTTTTTTCCCAATCTGCAGGGAATTTTCTCCAATATGTAAAGAGTAGCAATGAAGTATGATGCAGTATCTTTATCTGAAATTTTGGAAAGACAATATGACAGTTGAAATTATCTGAAGAAAAATAAAAGTTGGCTTTTCTTGTAAATAGGCAGCAGATACATTTTCACCTGCTGAAATGAATTATTTTAATTTTTCATGCTGAGAAACCTTTTTTCAAACCACCTTTATAATTTTTGAAGAGATTCCACAATACTGTAGCTGCTTTATTGGTTCTTAACTCAATTTTTGCAAAAGAGCAGAAACCTTTTAAATATACCTGCCATAAAGTATTTTAAACAAAACTTTTTTGAGTCTGCAATCATTTTATGAAACTTTGCTAGTACACAGAATTATGATCTGAAATTCAACCTAGGGCTGCCAACTGTGGGATAATGAAGGAGGACATTTTTTTGGCAATCTGCAGGGAATTTTCTTCAGCATAATCAAGGTAAAAAGTAGCAATTAATTATGTTGCACTATCTCTATCTGAAATTTTGGAAAGACAATGGCAGTTGAAATTATCTGATGAAAAATAAAAGTTGGCTTTTCTTGTAATAAGGCAGCAGATAATTTTTCATACTGAGAAACCTTTCTTCAAACTACCTTTCTAATTTTATGAAGACTATTGACACTATAGCTGCTTTATCTGTTCTTAACTCAATTTTTGAAAAGAGCAGAAACCTTTTAAATATACCTGGCATAAAATATTTTAAACAAAACTTTGTTGAGTCTGCAAAAATTTTATGAAACTTATTTGCTAGTCCACAGAAATTTGTTTTTGTGGAAATTTGCCTGTATACATGGACCCAAAAAGGTTTGGGAACACTGCTTTACAATATTCAAGGTTGGAAACCATCTGTTGGGGAATTGTGCCAAATGTGTTAATTGAGATACGATTGATGCACGTTTACAATTTTGAACATGGTAAAATTATCATTGTTTTCAGTATGGTCATTATTTTCAGCTGACAATATATGCTGGTCATTTTGACAGAGATTACATAGCACCTGGTGAACTTGTATTTATTTATTTTAGGGATTCTCTCGGAAGTGGATCACATGGCGAACCTGGGTGTTGAGACGATTTGGCTGTCACCGGTATACAGGTCACCCATGGCGGATTTCGGCTACGACATCTCCGACTTCCGGGACGTTGACCCGATCTTCGGAACACTGGATGACCTCAGAGACCTGCTCGATGCAGTTCACGAACGAGGCGAGCCGATTTATTATTCCCGTTATTCTTAAATTCATTCGATTCTCTTACGTTACTGCGGATATGTTGGGGTTCCTATATATAAATAAAATTGGTTTTTCTTTAATCGAATGACATTAAAAAAAATTAGCCGCATTCCCTCGGAACTTGAAATAACGTCTTTTATAATAAAATTAAATCAGAGGGATAAAATAATTTTTCCTTGAACCATCTTCGAGTATAGGATGTTATTCCAAAAAATTAAGAACAATTCATCTTCACAGCTAGTGTTTATACCCGAGAAATTACTCAAGGGTTTTTTGGGGAATCGTTTACTTCTGTTTAAAATATGAACATAAGTCTTGAATTATTCTTTTAAAATCTCGTTACAACAAAGCCATTGGGACAAGTAAAATAGCTTCATTTTAACGAAAAAAATAATAATTATGATTCGAACTCAATTGACATGTCAGCTGTTGGACAGGGTGACAGCTTGGGACCAAAAAAACGGATTCTTTGTAATCGATTACTTGTTATAAAGAGATTCGTTGTAACGAAATTCTACTCTAAAATTGGAATGACTGAATTATCGAAAGCTTTTTGAAGAGCAGAGGTGTGGCTTTTCTGATTTTGAAAAGATAAAAAAAAAACTGCGTGAAGATCAGCGGAAAAATATTCAAGTAAGAATCGAAATTTACTTCCGGAAATTTTTTGTTGTTGGAATTTTCATCAGCACCGTGGTTTAGTGAAAGTAAAATAAGTGTTGCACATTTTATTACTCAGTACAAATTTTCTTTGTCAATATTTGACAGCGTGACATGACAGTACAGTACAGTACAGTTTTTTATGGGTTTTCATTTAATTTTTCATATATGAAAATGAAACATTCAAGGTATGCGACTGTTGATGGACCTGGTGCCAAATCATTCCAGTGACGAACACGAATGGTTTGTGAAAAGTGTGCAAAGAATCGACCCTTTCACGGATTACTATGTTTGGGTGGATCCAAAAGGATTTGACGACAATGGGGATCCGATCCCACCATCAAATTGGGTCAGTTATTTTCCAATTGATGCCTGTTTTTCTGCCAAATATTCCCGCAGTATGATCATTGGATGAAAATGCCTGAGAAATTTTGACCCTATTTTCGAACTTTTAATTTCAACTGAAATCAGAAGCGCATTAATTACTCTGAATTGTCTCCATTACTAAACATATGCTATACAGTGAGACCTCAATATGCAAACATAATTGGCGCATCAAGAGTGTCCCAAATTCAAAATGTCCCTAAGGCAAGTCTTTTTTTCCTTAGACTTACATTAAAAATATTTTTAATTGGTGTTTCTAGGGAAGAAATATTCATCAGAATTAAATGGAAAAAATGGTCTGCAAATTAAAACTGATTCAATCAAAGTCTTTCTACTCAATAAGGACATTTGGAGCATTAATTACCATACCTGTGATACCTATCTGTACAATACAGTACATTAATATGTTGGTGTTCTCTGTAAAAATAAAATGCAAGTCAAAAATAGAGGAAAAAGTTTCTCTATTCTGAAGGTAATTTTTTACACTTAGCTAAATGGATAATGAAATGGTTCAAGAATTGCCAAAGAACTTTTCTTGAATAAATCTTAAGGTTGGGAATATCTGTTTCTTGTAATTTGGCCTGAAACTTATCCACAATTTTAGCACACAATATCTGCATATTGAGACAGTGTCCACATGTTGGGCCTTTTGATGCAATTTTTTTTACAGGAAAATAAGTGTTCATATGTTGAATTGTCCACATGTCAAGGTGTCTGCATGTGGGGGTCTCATTGCATTTTAATGCAGAGCTGGTGAAATCATTTATTCAAAAATTACGTCATGATTCTGTGCAGAATTTTTTTTTTAGCATGAAAAAGCAGCAAGCATGTAATTAAAATACTGTAGCATATGATCAATTATATAACGTTTTTTACTGTTTTTATTTATGGACATCATTTTTTTGTTTTCTTGTGCATGATCAGTTGAGCATCTTTAGATTCTCAGCTTGGCAATGGAATGAGGAAAGACAGCAGTTTTACTTTTTTACTTGCACCAATACCATCCAAAACAACCGGATTTCAACTATTATAATGAGCTGGTCATGCAAGAAATGCTGGTAAGTTTCTTGCTGCTGGTGAAGGAACCCAATGACCAAATCCTACTTTATACACTGAAACCTCACAAGTTCGGGTTTTAAAATTGGTCTCGTCGTCTGGAGCTCATTAGCAAATCCCATTTCAGTTGATTTTATTTTTTTCTTAACCTGGGAAGATATAGTATACGGTATTATATTTCTGAATTACCGGCATTTGCCGAGTTGAGACTGGAGACCGAATTCCCACGCAAAATGTTTTAGCATCATGGTGTAATATTCCAATTACCTTTTTCTTCTAAAAATTTAATTAGTGTAGTTGTACTTGGTAATATTCTATGCACTAGGTTTTTTTAAAAGATCAGAAAAGCAAAAATTTTAAAACAAGTATAATTTAAGCAGTACATTTTTAACCCTTCCAAGTCAAGTCTCAATTAATCAAAACCTCCAAAATTTAAATTTTCTCTCAATCCCTAGCCAATTCCTTCAAGACCAATACTGTACCTTAAAATTCGACTTAGAGAGGTTCAACTTTATACTTTCGAATTTTAAATTACTTTTTGCCATTTAAATTTTGGCTAAATTTTTGAATACTCTACTTGTTGAAGACAAAATCAGATTAAAATTATTTTCTTGATGCTCTTTACAAGAGAATAATCATTTTCATGCAGCAGTTTAAAAATGTATAGTTAATGTTTTCATGCAGTTGAAAATCGATGAAAAATAAACAGTGCAAGTGATTTGGCCATCAGATAATTATTTTCTTGAGTATCCTGTACCCAAAGTAAAAAATAAATGAATAAAGCCGCCCGAATCAAGGAATCCTTGGACAAGTTTGTTCCAGGATCCCCTCGAATCTGACCCAGAAAGCCTCAACTGTGAAATTTTTGTTTTGTTTGAAAATTCAGGACATAGTGGCATTTTGGCTTGAATTTGGAGTGGAAAATCAATGAAAAATAAACTGAGCAATTGATTTGGCCAGAAAATAATTTTGTTGAATACCTGTACCCAAAGTAAAAAATAAATAAATAAATTCCGCCCAAATCAGGGAATTCGTGGAGAAGTTTGTTCTAGGATCCCCTCAAATCTGACCCAGAAAGCCTCAACTGTGCATTTTTTTGTTTGTTTGAAAATTCAGGACATAGTGGCATTTTGGCTTGAATTTGGAGTGGAAAATAAATGAAAAATAAACAGAGCAAATAATTTGGCCAGAAAATAATTTCGTTGAGTATCCTATATACCCAAAATATAGAAAAGAAAGCGCCCTGAAGTGGGAAATTCTTGAACAAGTTTCTCTGGAAATCCCCTCTAATCTGACCTAGAAAGCTTCCACTGCTAGCTGTGCAATTTTTTGTTGTTGTTTGAAAATGCAGGACATAGTGACCTTTTGGCTGGAATTCGGAGTGGACGGGTTCAGGTGCGACGCAGTGGCGCAAATCGGGGAAGTGAATGACTACTACTTGGATGAACCACTTTCAGAGAATCCCTGGGAAACAGACCCTGAAAACTATGGATACCTCCAACACATCTACACTTCGAATCATCCCCAAACATTCCAAGTGCTGCGCAACATCCGGATGCGAATGGACGAATTCGTCGCGGAGACCGGAACCGAAACCAAGTTAGAAAAAAAAAATATATATATATACATTTATTTATTTATAAGCAAGGAGAATGTTCAAATTTCCAGGGAACAATATATATGTATATATATATATATATATATAAGACTGATTCCTCATTGTGTAAAAAAAAACCAAGTTAAAAATTTGGTTCCCCCAACAAAAAAAAACTGAGCTTCACGCCTGGAAATTTGAACATTCTCCTTTATTTATTTATTTATTTATTTATTTAATATTTATTTATTTATTTATTGATAAGCAAGGAGAATGTTCAAATTTCCAGGGAACAATATATACATAGTTGAACATTCTCCTTGCTTATAAATATATATATATTTATAAGCAAGGAGAATGTTCAAATTTCCAGGGAACAATATATACATAGTTGAATAATCATAAATTTCCAGGGAACAATATATACATAGTTGAACATTATTTGGAGAATAATTAAGGAGAATGTTCAAATTTCCAGGCGTGAAGCTCAGTTTTTGTTGTTGAGGGAACAAAATTTTTAACTTGGTTTTTTTGTACGCAATGAGGAATCAGTCTTGCTTGCTTGATTGATTGATTGATACAAAAAAGCTTGATTTTCTGCTTTTCAGCATTCACAAAAGGTTCAAATAATGTTCCCACATCCAAATGCCCTCCCCTTCCCACTCACATCCATCCAAACACATTCCAATCACATCAAGATACAGAGTAGAAACAAATAAGGTACATCAGAGGGTACCCCACAATTTGACCTTAACCCATTGCTGGACAAAGGTTGAATTGTGAAGCAGTCAAATAGCAAAGCAATTTCAGATGCAATGTTTTCCACATTGTATTTGACATTTTTGTCCATCTCTGTGGGTTGAATTTTGTGGGGCCTAGATCAAATTGCAAGTTGACCTCCTGGAAAATTTGACCATCAAATAGCAGGATGGTCAAATTTTAGGAGGTTGAATTGTGAGGTACCACCTTTATACACTGCAGGTGAACCTCAATAACTCAAACCCCCCTAAGTAAAATACAGTATCCCAAGAGTCAAATAAAAGTCAAAATATCTTCAGGTCCTCATCTGACTCCCCTCACAAACAATGCATGAAAAACCTCCCTAAGTCAAAGGCTTTTCCCCTCAAACCTCCATAAGTCTAATTTTCTGTGGCCAGTTAGCCATTTATTTTCTTGACCCAAGAAAGAAAAAACAATAGAAACAGAAATCAATGTGTTTTAAAGGAAGTGAAAGACTTGATTGGGCAAATGAACTCCCCAAAAATTTTTTCTTTTTTTGTGGAGAAAAATTTTTGGCTGTTTTTTTTTAAAAATGAGGAATCAGTTGATGCCTCAGTTATTGTGGCATCAATAGGGAAGTTGTTTCCATCCTATACAGTTCAGTTTGTAATGTTCAGATTTCCACATTTTTCATCCCCAAAAAAATTGTTCACCCAAAAAACAAACAAAAAATTCACGCAACAAAAATGTGGGCTTTACACCTGGAAATCTCAGCATTACCAACTGAACTCCATACAATGGAATCAACTTCCCTATTGATGTAATAATGAGGCAGCAACAGATTCCTGAAAAAAAGCAGAAAAAAACTGGTTAAATACAGTACTTGATTTTCATTATCAGAAAAATGTTAAGGAACACTAGAATATTTCTGAACGATATAGGGGTTATTTTCCAGAAAATGTATTAATTTCAAAACTTTCCAACAAATCCCTTCTCTTTTAGGGTGTATTTAGTCACAATCCAACACACTTTTCGCACTGCTGTGGGTTATTATTTCTGGGGTCGGTCATAAAAAAAATGTTTTAGACCTGGGGAATGCTGACAAGCAGCAAATAAATCATATTTTTCAATCGACCAATAAACATACATGGGCTATTCTATTTTTTAGATTCATGATTGCTGAAATTTACGAAAACATCACGACTTCGCTGTTGTACTACGGCACTGAGGAAGAGCCAATTGCACACTTGCCCTTCAATTTCCGCTTCGTCTTCGATGGGGAGCTGAACGGAGACGTGGTTCGTGGGATTGTGCAACCCTGGTTGGACGCGCTGCCGGATTGGAATCCTCACACCAACTGGGTGGTGAGCCTCAAATACTGTACTGTATAAAAATGTCCTTTTCTGTCTGTCTTTCCTCTTGGAATGTGGAACAGGTTTCTGGAGTTGTGAGGAAAAAGGTGTCTATAATAAGTGGGTAGACTGAGGGAAAATTAAGAAATCCATTGAGGACTTTCCAATTTTTAAGAAAGAAATACTGTACAATGCAGACTGGATATTGGAAATAAGAAATTGTACTTGGACAAGAATCAGGAGGATATTTTTTATCCTTCAGACAAGCAGGGATTACATTGCATTATCCATTTTCCAAAAATTATACAAAAGCTGTGCTATGCTTCTCACTTTCTGGGGAATTCAGCAAATATTGGTATGGGGAAGTGTAAAAGATGTCCTTTCTGTCTGTCTCTTTCCTGTTGGAATGTGGAACAGGCTTCTGGAGTGAGGAAAAAAGCATTTAATAAATGTGTAGACTGAAAATAATTAAGGAATCTGTCATGGGTCCATTGGATCCCAGACAAAGGAATTGAATTTTGCAGCCAGCAGAATGTAAGTCTTGAACGGCTCTAACTTTTTTTCAAAGGAGTTATGTCTCGTTGCCCAGATTGTCATTTGGCTGCTAGAGAAATGGCTGAATGATTTGATTTCAATGATAGAAGGGTTTCAGAATTGGTTGGTTAGCTCAGAGAATTGAATGATTTAATATTACTGTTGAAGGACCTTTTACGCTAGCTTCCTGGCCACTTCTCCTCTGGAAGAGGAATGAAGGTTTTTATACCAAGGTTCTTAGACTGGGTCTTGAAGAAATCTGATGATTTCTTTGTGGCTCATGATTGGCCAGTTTTGGTGCAATTGAAGAAGTGATGACCACTTCTTGGCCTTAATTGGGTGAGGCTCAGTGAGACTTGCCAAAACAGGATTTTGGCAAGGCTCAGTGGCCTCAAGATAAATGGAGTTTTCTCAGCCAGTTGCAGCTGCATGCAACAGCTACACAGCTTTGGTATGTGACAGAATCCATTGAGGATTTTCTAATTTTTAAAATAAATCCAATGCAGACAGGTTATTGGAATAAGAAATTGTACAAGGACAAGAATTAATTGGACATTTCACCCTTCAGACAAGCAAGGGGGTCAAATAAAAGTTATGTTTGATGTATTACCCCTTTGACAATAATTATGTTCAAAGCTGATAGGCTTATATTAATCACTTTTTGTGTAATTCCTCATATTTGTGTGGAAAAGTGTAAATGATGTCCTTCTCTGTCAGTCTTTCCTCTTGGAATGTGTGGAAAATATTTCTGGAGTGAGGAAAAAGGCATTTAATAAGTGTGTGGACTGAGGGAAAATGAAGAAATCCATTGAGGACTTTCCAATTTTAAAAAAATAAATAAAAAGCAGACAGGATATTGGAATACGAAATTTTACAGCCACACGCAAGAATTAGGAAATTTTACCCCTCTTTAATGCTTGGAAAGATAAATGCTGGGATCAACTTATGAAGCAGTGTTTTTCTTTAAAACTCATTTATTATAAAAATAAGTTCCAATTATGAGGGTGTTCAGCCTCATACAAAGATACTGTATTCATAAAAAATGCCTGTTGTCTGTCCTGTTGGAATGTCCCCATTTTGTATACAGGAACAGGTTGAAATTGGAAGGAGGAAAAATCATGTGATGCTTAAACTGAGTAAGATTAAAGGAATGTATTGCAGAATTTTCAAGTTTTTAAATAAATACGGTATAGTGCAGATTTTGGTACAATATTCAGTCTAAAATTATAAAAATGCAATGAGCAGGAAAATCTCTCATGAAACTGAGAAGAATTCGTCCAGAATGCTATTGAAGGTGATGCATGTACAGTATTTTTTGCAGATTTTTTGCTTATTAAATTATTGTGGAAAATCTAAATTAACGTTCCCGAAAAATTAAAATTTTTCATAAAGTGTGGACACCGAAAGACTCAATACCGTGTTTTTTAATTATATTTTTCGGCCATTTTGCAAAACATATGTACTGTATATATATATTATTCTTTCCAGTTATTGAAAATAGTGTACTGCTGTACATGCATACGCACGTATGCAGTATATATGTGACACTTATTTCCAGGCATAAAAAAACTCGAGGACTTTCCAGAAATAATAGCGTACCCACAGCAGCAGCAGTGTGAAAAGTGTGATGGATTGTGATTTAAATACAACCTCATCAACACTAAACACAAACCTTCGTCTATTTTATGTACATCTTCGCAAAAATCAGTTATCTCGACGAGATGCATCATACAATCTTCACAAAGGCGAAGTCCAAGGTCTCTTATATAACCATATATAATGGTTATATTCATATCAGACGTATTTTCCCATTAATCAAAATTGATCCTCGAATATAGCAATCTTTGATTTAAACAATCCATCTTTCTTATATAGAGCCTGATATGACAGGCCTTCAGGAATAAGTTGAGGCATTTCTCGTATGAAATTCTGCGAATTCAGTATTTACGGTATGCCAATGCAGTAATTTGATTCCACAAGAATTAACTTCTCGACTATACTGTACATGAATATTTTAAAGTTAATCCTGATAATGGATTCCCTTCATCAGTTCCACTACTAATGCCCTAATAAGTAATTATATAAAAATATGTCTTGGTGGAACTTTTTGATGCATTTTTTCCGGTTATTTATTTATTATTCTGTGCTATATTTTTTCTGTCAAATTTAATTTTGAAAATCAGAAGCCTCAATGATATGCAGCACTT